CCTCCCTCTCTCTCTCTCTCTCTCTCCTCTCTCCTCTCTCTCTCTTCTCTCTCTCTCTCTCTCTCTCTCTCTCTCTCTCTCTTCTTATCTCTCTCTCTCTCTCTTTGCTGAGAATGACCTACTGGGAGCAAATAATGGGAACCAGTACTTGGAACCAATAATGTAGAACCAATAATGCCACAATTTGTATCGTGACCTGGGTACAAGCAACGGTATGAGGTTTCCGTCGACACTACGAACAACACGGATGTTCATTTGCAGATCATAAGTACCACAATAACATATTTGCTCATTCGAATAATAAGATGTAGCTTAGGATCAGCTAAGCAGTGCTAGTGATGAACACAATTGGAAAGCGCGCAACCACAAATAAAAAGACCCAACAGCAACAGCAAAAACAGCAAAGACCCAACAAGACTGGGAGCATTTCCCGGAGTATTGATAGCTGAGAGTGGGCCAGGTGGAGTGAGCGCGGCATCATTCCCGATATCACCTAATCACTAACTTGACGATGGCTGTCAGATATCACACTGCGACTCACTCGGATATATTCCCCTGAAACCGTCATGAAATATGGGCGCACACTGTCACCAGCAAGCCGTCATGCAGACGTGAAGTGAACAGAGGTTGCTGAAACGGAGATAAAGCGACAAACACGCGTCATCATGAGGTGGCCTTTCACCACTGCTGCCTGCCTGCGAGGGGACGAAGCACTCCCATGAGAAGATGAGTCGCATTGCGTGGCTTTCGAGATTTTCGCTTCGCCAGTGACTCGGGATACAGACGGGATACCTTTAGGCGTTGATCCGATTTATACGAATGAGGCTACGACTTCTGGAAACAGATCACTGCACACATAGTAAACAGGGGGGAATGAGCCCAAGAAGTGACAGCATTCTAGACCACACCATGCTTTTTTGAGACATCGCTTGGCTTCGCTTCACGGCGGACACAAAAAGTCGCGCTCATCGGTCTGAACGTGGCCAACAGGATACCAATGTGGTTGTCGGGCTTCCACAGCCGACACGTCGCGACCGCAGGCCCCTGCAGGAAGCGCTTCATTTGCGCATCGTGGCAGAACTCCGATGACTTGTCACGGGCTCGCTGGCGAGCAGCATCTTCATCAGCAACATGTGCCAGCGCGCTGGCTGTCGACAAGCACCATGACGTCGCAGCCTATTGCTGGGAGGGACGGCTAAGGCCTTTCCAAGGAAGATTCCTCGCTAGCGTCTTTGTGTCGCCCATATGCCCTTGGCCTGAGTTGATGCTGACGACAATGCCTCTTTGAGTCTTTAGAAAGGAAAGGGTAGTTAAAGGAAGTGGTTCACATTTGAAGATATTGAAGCAAACATCAGATATGATGGAACAAGCTCGCTTATAGCTGTTGATGTACTTTTTAAGTTGAAAAGACCGCTCTAGACAGCACAATTCTCTGTTTTATAGATATTCTCCGCAATGCGACAAAGTTTGATTACGTCATCCTATCTTGCACATCATTGATTGAGAGCCGATTGCCGGATGTTATATCTGGAAATCGCGTTCAGAAACACCAGATATAAACGCCTCGACACTTATATGTCTTTTGGCCGTGATTGCCGCATGGGTTATGGAATGGCGGTGCCGAGGTTTCTTTGAAATACTCTCCCCGATATACCTTTCCCCATTTTCGGTGGCGTTTAGCTGAGAACCTAGAGGGGCTTAGGTTTTAAGGAGGACAGGATTGTGAACAGCACCGAACGTTCTTCAAGATGGCTATTTGAGTTCAAAGCCGCATATAAATGTGGAAAGCTCGCTTTAAATAACTTTTTGCTTCCGGGTAGATCCAATGTTAGCGGCCATTACCTTAAACGCTTACCTTTGGCGTGCCTGAGTGGCGAATCATGTTTTTTGGCAGCGTTGACTTATACCATTCGTAAATATACCATCATTGACGCAACCTGTTTTTATGACATTGTTTCTTGCTAAAATGATGGCCCAACGTTTTAATTGTAGACACATGTTCGGTTTAAATATAGACATCCGCTGGCACTAGACTAAATATCTTTTTGAAAAAGGATACATACAGTCCGGTAGTTACAAAGGAAAGTGAAATTTCGCAACCTACGTCATAGCAATTCAGGCTTGTACATATAGTATCGCGCACCCTATTAATAAGATGTTCAGAAAATATATTTTTGCCACGCTGTCCAGGTAGACATCAGTTATCGCAAAATGCTGACGCCTGTGAATTTTGCTTAGCGCACTGGCAACGTAAGACACAACCTCCATACCGCTAATTTGGCAGTTTGACCCTATGTACGGTCTCATGTTCGGCTAAGTGGTTACTGGGTGGGCTCTTTACATAAGACCTGTCTGACTCTTTACGACCTTTGTTTTGTCGCACAATATGAATGCCATTCGTTAACTCATCAATTTGTAAGCATCCGCGTGCTTGTTCGCTCCAGCACCACGACGTCACAATGGTGCGATTATTCGTCGTGGACGTACGCCATGTTTCCTCATCATAATTTCAGCAGAAACACCCGACGTCTCCGTTCTCCTACCAGACCAGTGCATTAGCAGCCTGGGATATGGATGGCTAAACTTGGCTTGAGCTGGGCCACCGTTACGGGCAATGTTACGTGCGGTAACAACCGAGAAATCGAATTCACGAGGAGGAACAGAATCCCCGCGAATTTTAAGCCGCTTGCCCAATTGCATGCGATGCAACGCGTGACGCGTGACAAACACTTGGAAACATCAGAACATTTTTGGTGCATTATTTTTACACCGTGGTAAACCTTTCACGGCAAAGCTGAACCAATATTCAAAACATATCGAGCAAATTATGGGCTTCTACCTTTTTCAGCTCAGCAAATTATCCGACCCAGTGGCGTTAATCACAGCATATTTCCATCAAGAACAGTCACACTTTTGAAATGCTCGCCGACTTTTGTGATAAAACGCATCCACGCATTTCGAATAAAGCACATCATCGTGCAAGAGGAAGCGGGTGGTAAGAGGTTCGACACGATCTCATTTTCGGCTCAACCGCGCACGACAGTGCTCAAGGGCAGCCACACGGAACCTGCGGCGTCATCGGCGGCATGGTACGGCCAGCGCGGACGGGCTCTGCAGACAGCGGGCTTCTTGCGCACCCAACTAGCTAAACATGGTACGGCCCGCGCGGACGGGCTCTGCAGACAGCGGGCTTCTTGCGCACCCAACTAGCTAAACACGGTACGGCCCGCGCGGACGGGCTCTGCAGACAGCGGGCTTCTTGCGCACCCAACTAGCTAAACACGGTACGGCCCGCGCGGACGGGCTCTGCAGACAGCGGGCTTCTTGCACATCCAACTAGCTAAACATGGTACGGCCCGCGCGGACAGCGGGCTTCTTACGCATCCAACTAGATAAACATGGTACGGCCCGCGCGGACGGGCTCTGCAGACAGCGGGCTTCTTGCGCATCCAACTAGCTACCACCGAGAGTTTGTGAGAGAGACCGGGGCAGAGAGACCAGAAACCAGTTTGTGAATGCAGTTCAGACGTTGGGAAAGGGACTATGTACCAAGCAAGTCACGAGGCTTGTTAAAAGTTTTCATGTCTAATCTTTCCTTACTGCAGCGTCAGTCTTGTCGGTTTCAATCGCCGCTTCTCATGCCATGTCCAGTCTAGCGTCAGTAAATACCCATGGGTTTTAGCACTAGTGTGAGTGCTAAAAACTAAAAAAAGACGTGAAACGACTATCAGTAACACCCCAACCTCGCAAATAAATCAGAGCACGCTAATACTTGGAGGTCCGTACCGTCATACCGCAAAGTTGTGGTTAAAACAATCTGCGGTTTCTCTTTCATGAAGCAACTGGGCAAACACGCGCAGTTTTCTGTTGTACCCGATTGGCTTGAGGCACCCTGTACCAGCATTGGGGAAATAACACTCACGTGGGAATGCATACAGCCACACTTAATGTTAGTGCAAAAACCAACAGCTGCCAAATGGAAATAATGCAAGACAAACAACACGTTTATGCCATTTCCCAGACGATGGCCTGTTTTTGACCGAAGGCTCCCTGATGAGCTGGGACCACACATTTTGGAGTCTGGTGAGCGGGATGACACGCGGTGTGCACCGATTCAATATCCTCTTCTGTCCGCTTGCCCAGCCCACGGATTGCGAGGAAAATGCGGTGCATTTTAAGGCAAGTATGGTACAGGAACTACTGTGAGTTAAGCGTCCGAAAGTCAGTCAAATAAGGGTCACCCATTTTGAAATTAAACTATCTTTGTTTTCCAAAATCTTAAACAAGACTTAATCTGTTTTCGCCCCGGAATGCTCAAAATCATAATCCACTTCAGTCCGCCACATTTCATTTTTTGGTGCAACATAACAGCTGAAAAATACGTGAGCACATCTAGCACTTGTCCGACAGACTGCTTTCACAATGTAAGGCCTAACTTACCCTGCCTTACCCGACCTACGTTCAAGCTTGGCGGGCGTGGTTCACGTTAGTTGTGGGTCTTGCCACCAGATGGGAGGACTGGAGTGCGTCATCACCGGCCTGATGGACGAGTTTGGAGCGCGCTTCAAGAGCTGGCACCTGCACCGGCGTGTGGTGACGCTGTTCGTGGTCGGCTCATCCTTCCTGGTAGCCCTGACATCGCTAACGCCGGTATGCGAAAACGGAGCTAACCTTCCTAACTCCCTGTAAGAAGCGTACAGCGCCATTGCATTTGCTGGCTTCATTCTTAGCGTCAGTAAGCAGCGTCTGGTCGGATTCAATACTCGGTCACAGCAACAGGCCAGGACAGCGTAGGACACATTGCCTGCCGGAGTGGTTCGTGCCGTTTGTCCGTGCCGTGCCGTAGGACACATTGCCTGCCGGAGTGGTCCGTGCCGTTTGTCCGTGCCGTGCCGTAGGACACATTGCCTGCCGGAGTGGTCCGTGCCGTTTGTCCGTGCCGTGCCGTAGGACACATTGCCTGCCGGAGTGGTCCGTGCCGTTTGCATCGACTGAGCTCAGAAGGCGCCCTCCAGCTGAGGAACACTTGAGGACACACTCAGGCTGAGGGACACCTGAGGACAAAATCTTGCTGAGGGACACTTGAGGACACCCTCCAGCTGAGGGACAACTGAGGACACCCTCCGCCCGAGGGACAGCTGAGGACAGCCTCTTGCTGAGAGACACCTAAGTACATTCTCCAACTGAGGGACGCCTCAGGACACCCTCCGACTATGGAACACCTGACCTCCGGCTGACATTTCTCCACAGCGTGCGTGGGCAACACAGATGGTACTGTGCGAGAGGCTGCAAATAACGCAGCCATTAAACGTGACATTCGCGGCGCGATCAATGACAGCCGGAAATGAGTCGGACATACAAAGAAGCGGCATTCACTATGCATCTCTTACAGACGCTATCAAAAGAAATTATAATACAACAGATGGCCGGACAACAATATGTGGAGGAAATCGGACCCGGATAAGGACACGTCTTCGGCTAGGTGGGGCGCGTGGGTCAAGTTGCCATGAGTTTGATCTATCACTTACCTAGAAATAGTCCGCCTGAGCATCACATCCTGCCTCAGGTTATCATCCACGCTCTTAACAAGCCATTTTCATTCAAGCATCCGTGATCGCAAAAAGTTCCCAGATTTTGAACATCTTTCATGTACACCTTGAAATGCATGATAGCTTTGCACGTTTCACAAGTGCAAAAGATACAGCCAGTTGCCGAGCACCAGCGTTCGTCACCAAACTGACAAGTAACTTCGACGCGGTGAAGAACCGGGCCAGGTACGGAGTCCCGCCACCTGCTATAATACCAAACCCAGCATGACCTGCAATTGTGCTCTAGTACATAGTCTGGCCCGGTGTCCTGACATCACACTGGTCCCAGTCTTGTACTGTGCTCCTGCTCATCACACGGACCCCAGTCTGGTGCTGTGACCCCGCTCATCACACGGACCCCAGTTTGGTGCTGTGACCCCGCTCATCACACGGACCCCAGTCCGGTGCTGTGCTCCTGCTCATCACACGGACCCCAGTCTGGTGCCGTGACCCCGCTCATCACAGGGAACCAAAACTGGTGCTGTGGCCCCACGCATCACATGGACCGCAGCCTGGTGCTGTGACCCCGCTCATCACACGGAGCCAAAACTGGTGCTGTGACCCCGCACCACTTCCTATTTGACGCTGCAATCTGCTACCGAGTCCGACCCAGCGTTGAGTCTAACCAGTTACTGCGATCTGCTACAAGCGGCCCGTTGGCGTAATCCGACAAATCCGGCTTTGACCTATGATGGGCCGATGCCGAGTTGGAATAGTATGATATAGTAGGGCGGGGCGGAATAGCTGCTGTTATTCCGGACCAGGCCTGACCAATTGCTATGGCCGGGTAATAGATCTCATCAATTCCTGCGACCTGACAGTAAGCCAGACTGTGATCGTGACTCACTGTTGTGACATGGCGGTACACATGTGTTCATCAGGTCATGACCCGCTGCTGCGACAGGACGGTACACGCGTGTTCACCGGGTCATGGCTCGCTGCTGCGACAGGGCGGTACATACGTGTGTACCTGACCGTAACTCGATGCTGCGACAGGGCGTTACATGCCTGTTCACCGGGCCATGGCTCGCTGCTGCGACAGGGCGGTATATACGTGTTCACCTGGCTGGACACGTACTCGGCGGGGCTGGCGCTCCTCTGTTCGGCCCTGTTCGAGGCCATCGCCGTTGGCTGGGTGTACGGCAGCCACGTGCTGGCGCGCGACATTCAGCAGATGACAGGCTCCACACCCGGCCTCTTCTGGCGCTGCTGCTGGAAGTTCATCTCGCCGCTCTTCCTCGGGGTGAGTGCTCGTGGCAGCCGGTTTGGCGGCGAGCGCCACGCGGTAGGCTTTCGGAAGATGCGGCAGGTGGCGCTAGTGGGTAAACCAGCATAGTTAAGTCACCGCCGACAGTCAGACAGCTGAGCGCTCTCTTGCGCTGTGCTCCTCGCTGCACGGCTACAGCTATTCCCGTCGCTCGGCTCACTCCTATCGCCTCATCAGAAAACGCCAACTGCAAGATAGCCCTGAACCGTAACCTGACCAGAGCGCAGGAATGGCTCGACCACGCCCACTCGCCGTGCACCGCCTACGCGGCCGCGTGCCGTGGCAGCGCCGGCACGCCGACAGCGCCCTCCTGCGGCAGTCGGTGCTGGTGCTGGGCGTGGTGTTCTCCGGCCCGCTCAGCTACGACGGCTTCGAGTACCCGCTGTGGGCCACGGCACTCGGCTGGACGTACGCGCTGGTGCCGGCGCTCTTCGTGCCGGCTCTGGCGGCGCGCGCTCTCTGGAAGTACAGCGGCCACGGCCTGGGACAGGTGAGGCACCGGCGTCCGCGGCCGGCCGCCAGGGCGGCGGCGCTGGACGGTGGGGTGGAGGTGGAGGCGAGGAGGGCGTTGCAGGAGGGTTAGGGAGGCTGCACGGAGAAAGGCCAGACATGCACCTCATTAAAAAGCTCAGTGCCCGGGATGCAAGGGAAACCTACAGGTTGAGGAGAGGTCAGGGACGTCACCAAAGATCAAAGACGGGAACACTTCGAAATAAATACCAAAAAGGCCTTCAGGGAGGATGCCAGCAATGTCCCGTATCTGACGACCAGTCCCGCTGGCGGTGAACAAGACAAGCATGTTTGAAGCCATGCCGACGGGAAGTCAAATGAGCAAGATGAGTGGAATGCGCGACGATAAATTGGTTACTGACTCGGATCGCTTGGAGCGCCATCTGTGCCGTGAAGATGGCGCCACCTTTCAGTCGCGGACTACAGGCATGCCGCCCCCTCCCCCAGTCCCCATCGCGTAAGACGCGGGAACCTGGGAGGGAGAGTGGGCCCCGGGGTTAGCAGTTTCCCTCCCCAACTTGAAAGCTGGCCATTCCAGCCTGTAGAGGGCCCATTCTGATATGTATAAGACATACTATTGACTATGGTTGGCCCGTTCTGCCCTGAAGAGGGCCTCATTCAGGCCTGTAGAGTTCCCATTCCGACCTGCAAGTAGCCCATTCTGGCCTAACGAGGGTGTATTCTGAGCTGTAGAGGTCCCACTCTGACCTAAAATGTGTGAAACTCTAGCTTGTAGAGGGTCTATCCTAGACTGTCGACGGCCGGTCGTCCTGCACCTCCCACTTTGATCTGTAGGGGCCGTTCTTACCTGCATAGGGCCGTCATTGGCTTTAAAGGGGCCATTTGAGGTTGTAGGGGCCCTACTATCTTATCTAATGATCCATGATGTCCCTTTTTGGAGCTTGTGCCCCAGCTTCAGCAAAGTCTCCTAGCCCCTGCCACAGCGACCATCCACGGTCGTGCACTATCCAATGTCCGATTCTTAAAAGTTCCTATTTGATCTAATCGTGACTTACGAAACAATGATGCCCTCCAGCTGAACCATCTCTCCTTAGCGGCGAATGATACGGAAGTCAGATAACGATACGGAGTCCCAGACGCGAGTCGTTTGCTCTGAGACCGATAAGGATCCGCTTCATCAGTTTTCCTGACGTACCTCACTGTGGCGAACAGATTTTACGTCACATCGGCCGGGTACATAAGGCTGAATAGGCACCCTTGTCGAGGCATGACGATGAACTGTGGTGTGATAAGCCAGCTGATCACACGACGCACCAGGCACCGTTGACACTGTTCTCACTGCTGGCATGATGCACCGTTGTCAAAGTCATGCCTGCACTTGGTGATTTTTTTAGCCCAATCGACCGAGATTCCATCTCATTGCATTATTTTGACTCTGATTCCGAACAGCACTGTGTGACCACGATCCCGACTGAGGGAGGTGCGGCCCATGCCGAACTCTGATCCAATGAAGTCGATTTCGGTGATAGGAGTTTGAAGATCCACCCCTTAGTTGTGGAGCTAACAATGGGCTTCATGGAAGCATACGGAAGGCAGTTGTGCTGATGACCAGGCGGATCAAATGACCGCTCAGTTTGGTAGACGTATGGGCTACCACTGGACTTACCGCAGGTTGTTATTCACGTGTATATCTGAGCCGACTCTCAAATCACATGTTCACACAGCTCCAAAAAAGACTGTCAATGCAAGTGAGGAAGAATCGCTCCCATCCTGACTAAACAAAACAGCCTGCATGACTGAGGTTAATGCCGGCCGTCTGGAGGCAACCGTCTGCTTGATGTCATTTCGCCAGGTGCGCAGGCTCGCGCGGCGTCGGTCGCTCCGCGTCATGGTGGTCCTTACTCATCCCGCCGTGGGTCTTGCAGGCGGTGGCACTCAGCATCTCGCCCGAGGGGGAGCATAAGGCTATTCGGGACGGTGAGACGCCCAGCCGCTTCCAGCTTCTCCACTGGATCACCGTGTGAAGTGCCACCGGGCTGGTCCACTGGACCACCGTGTGAGGTGCCACCGGGCTTCTCCACTGGATCACCGTGGGAGGTGCCACCGGGCTTCTCCACTGGATCACCGTGGGAGGTGCCACCGGGCTTCTCCACTGGATCACCGTGGGAGGCGCCGCCTGACTGGTCCACTGGACCACTGTGTGACGTACCGCCTGGCCGGTTCACTGGACCCCCGTGTGAGGTGCCGCCTGGCTGGTCCACTGGACCACCGTGTGACGTACCGCCTGGCTGGTCCACTGGACCACCGTGTGAGGTGCCGCCTGGCTGGTTCACTGGACCACCGTGTGAGGTACCGCCTGGCTGGTCCACTGGATAACCATGTGAAGCTGGTCCACTGGACCACCGTATGAGGTCCCAACGGGCTGGTCCCCTGGATAACCGTGTGAGGTACCGGGTGACTGCCGCACTGCAGGTCCCGCACTGGATCACGGCTTGAGGTCGGCTTCGGGGATCCACGCGGGATCACGGCGTAATGTGGAATCAGACTGCCCACACAGGATCACGGCGTAATGTGGGATCAGACTGCCCACATGGCATCACGGGGTAACGTGAGACCAGACTGCCCACATGCCATCACGATGTAATGTGGGATCAGACTGCCCTCAAAGGATCACGGGGTAATGTGGGATCAGACTGTCCATCTTGGATCACAAGATGATGTAGAACTGACCCATTCGCTTCTTTTTACGCACGGGAGTCTCGCGCAAGCCTTCTCCCCGATTTCCCAGCCCCGCGCTGCCCGCCTGGTGGAACAGGGCGCCCTGCTGCCTCTAGCCGACCCGGTCAAGCGGGAAGAGGGGCCGATGGTGTCTCAGCCACCAACCCGTCCCGAATAGGGGTCAGGGCACCCGTGGTGTTGTATGTTGTTTGCAGAAACTTTGGGCGCTGCATTTCATGCTGGTTCACGGGCACAAACCCTTTCAACCTTGACCTCCGAGACCGAAAGAAGACTGACAAATCTCCGGCGACCGTTGAAGACGGCAGACAGGACCTCCGCCTATTCGCTGGAGGCAGACAGGACCTCCATCGCTACGCTGGAGGTAGACAGGACCTCCACCGCTACGCTGGAGGAAGAAGACCTCCACCGCTACTCTAGAGGCAGACATACCTCCACCGCTATACTGGAAGCAGACAGGACCTCCTCAGCTATGCTGGAGGCAGGCGACGCATCATGGGAGGGGAGAGAGCTAGATGGATTGGGGGAGGGGGGGGGGGGTAGATGGAAGGGGAGCTAGATGAAGAAGGAGGGAGGGGGGGGGGAGGAAAGCGGACCACACCCGGATCGGGACCACTCCCACCCTGCCCCTCGCCAGGGGAGAGCAGGAGGGCAGGGCCGGGAGGCTCCTCGTGCACATACCGTGGCGGCTCGTGTGCAGGTGTTTCATCTTGCGCCAGCATGCCGTCCCACCCTCTGTCCGACATCGATGGTCGTCTAGTGCCCGTGCGCTGGGGCAAAGGTATTGAAGATTGTGTATGCTGCTGCTGCGTCGTGAGCGACACGTTTTGCAGAGACGGTGGACAGCTTTGTTATCTGGAGTCGGTAGAAAACTTCGCTACCGAACAATTCCACCACGTTGGTGTCGTTTTGCGAGGAGCACGATTTTCAGTTATTGAAATCTGTTGAATGTACGACGCCAGCTTGCCGCCGTGGTATAGATGTATTGGTGTCGCCCTGCACTGTTTGTACTTGCACTGGGACCCCCGTCACCGTTTGTGAACAAGATGTGTCAACGGCCGCGAGCGTGCCTCTGCCGTCTCGTGGCCCGCGGCTGGCCCGGGTCATGTGCGCTGACGCTTCCCTGTCTGTACCATGCGTGTCCCAAACGCACGATATGTTCTAGAGGTACCCAGTTCCGTTGGTGGGTCGTCCCGAGACCCGTTCGGTGTGGCTCCATGTGGCTCAATAGCCAGCTAGGTGTACTGTGATGTGCCACACCAAACATAAAGCTGACGCGGTTTTCATGGAGGCTGCGGGAACGCGGAGGCGGAGCGCGCAGTCAAGTCCGTTCCGTACTAACAAGCTCGCATCTGCCACGAAACGCTTATCGCCGCGACAAAGACAGTGATAGTTGCAGCCTGTTCACGGCGGAATGCTATTCTAATCTTACTTTGCAATGCGAACCATTGCAGCTTCAGTCTGAAATGTTACTCATTACGCCTTCAATTCGTAGTGCTGCTAATTTTGATTTGGAGCAGAAGTGTCTCTTACGGATATCGTAATCTCCATCTTAACTTATTTAAACTTTGACCTCTACCACTGACCGTTGCGCAGCTGCAAAAAAACGCACTAAAAAGCAGCCCAAGCAGTTGGTACGGGGATACCTTCCCGCCCCACGGGCTCATGATCCCTGTGAATGTGCAAAGAAAACCGTATAATGCATTCACGCGCGTAACAAATCAAATGACCAAAAATACTGGCTCGCCAAACGGCTATCGTAATTCGGTCGCGGCGCATCGCCCGGTATGACCCTATTGCATCACGTGTTAAGCTTGTAAAACGCCAACCTTTACCTGCTCACAGCAACAGCGGTGACTTAGCGCTATCGCCTGGAGTTGCCCACACTTATAGCGGTCAGCCCACTCCAGTGTGTGGCGCAGCCGAGGGGACCGGGGGCCGGCGCTGACGTCATCGGGCAGCAGTGACGTCATCGGCCGGCAGGCAGGACGCGACGGACGCCGAGCACGCAGAACGTGGAGCGGCAGGTGGGGCAGGGGCACTTGGAGGCCAGCCAGGTCTCCGGGCTGTCCTGGTCCTGGCGGGAGGCGAACCTGTCGAGACAGCGGCCGCAGCGTGAGGCTCGACGCTCCCGGCACCGCACCGCGCGTCACTGACAGCCGGGGGAGAGGGCAGAGCACGATGGCCAAATAGCATCCCAGCACGGCGGATGCCCGCGAGAGCATGGACGGCGCCAGTGACACCCACCGCCGCCCGCTGCGGCACGGATCGCACACCAACGCACCGCAGTCTAATGCCGACAGGGAACAGCGAGGACCAGGGGCACCGTGGTGCTGTACTGGTCATCGTCAGGACGGCGAGAGCGCAAATAGCAATCCGTCGCCACCCCCCCCCCCCCCACACACACACCCTGTAAAAAGTGGCAGCGTGCGAAGGTGTTGTGAGTGGAGAGCCACCATCCGTTTCTTTTGTGTGTCAGCGGCTCATGGTGAAGGCAGCAGTGGCCTCTCACCATGGCAGAAAGGGCGGGCATCGCAGCCCCCTCAATCAAATCCCACACCTCTGGTTTCACAGACGCGCAGCGGTATAGGTATTCCTTATTAAGGGGTAAGAAAAGCTTCTGATTTACCGGATGTGATTAGTGACAAACACCGATACCTCTGCGAACCAATTGGCGACCAATATCCGTAGATGAAAACAAATTTCAACAGACAAGACTATTACGACAGATTATCCTGACGCGACGAAACTGAACGCTTAGTATTGGTCTGTAATCGCTAACGTTTGCAGCGTGAACACATGTCGAAACGTTGACATTTCGCTGTATGAGCAAGTTGAGCCATGAGATGCCGCCAAATGTAGGAGCTTTAATCAGTATAGTTTTTAGCAGGTGATAGAAACGTAGTACAAACTATGCTATATCAATGCTTACGTCACAGATCAGTGGTGACACAGGTCCTTTCCAACGCCCCTCAGATCGGTGTTTTTCAAAGATTTTTTTCATGTAAGGTTTACTTCACATACTAAACAGTATAAAATACCAAATAGCTTGGCTTAATACCAGTCGTAATAATCGTGGCTCGCCCCAGCATCTTGCGACGTTCGTGATCAGTTTGCTACGCAGTGTTTTAAAACCGGGCATGCCATTTTAGAAAGATTGGTTTGATTGCTCGCCAAACGGTAATGCGTTTGGGTCAGGGTAAGGCTGTGGGCTGCTGTTGGTTGGGTTCAAGTCGTGAGAAGCTCACTGGCTGGAAGAACGTAGCCAATCGTCAGTTTTTAAGGTAATGGCGTTAAGAGTCGTGCCGATCTAGGAGACTTGTCTGTGGATACCTAAGTCGTAGCTTCAGAGGTAAACGGTGGCCGTTGGGGCGACACATGTCAAGGATCCACCCAGGGCTTCCTGCTACTGAGAGGAACAGCTGCTTTAAGGTAAGAGGTCGAGCATCGCTGGCGTAGGCCTCTCATACTGGCCGTTGTCGCTAAGACTTAGCGCACTGCTTGGTGGGCAGGCGCGAGATAAAACACTTTTATCCGTGATTATATTGCGTATAAAGCTAAATGAAGGTACTAGAGGTGTTTAAAAATTTCATTTGCATCTGCTGATACCAGCATTGTACGGCTTTTGCTCTAAATAACTGGGATCATGTTAGGAAGCGCGAGTTCTGCACTGGTAACAATTATACGAAGATGGTGAAGGTTGCCAACACTTCCAGCTGATTGCACCATGACGTCACGAAAGCAAGTGATATTGTTTCAAGTGCTTGTAGAATCATGCTATCGGTAAATGTTGGGCTACAGGGATGCAGTTTTGCAAAATGCGTAGAGGCATGGGATGAAAGGGGTGGGGAAGGGGTGCATGAAGAAAAACGGCTGAGCCGGCCTCCGAAATGCACTTAAAGCAGTTTTCTTTCCAGATTTGACGCACTTTTTTCGCAGGCGGGAACAGGGATGTAGCTTCTCAAAATTACCTTTTGGGTGGCTGAACCCCCAAATTATAATGAATGAAAAAAGATGCACAAAAATCGTAACTAGAAATATCGTACTGCATCCCTGGTTAGAAGGCAGAATCCCATCTCACGCCCCCCCGCAATCAAATAGGAAGCTATACGTCTTTAGGCTGGTTATGTCAAGTATGCCTTTATCTAATAATTTTGTTAAATTAGTCTCAATCATAATTCATTGTTTGATGGCCAGCCAACGAAACTATATCGCAAATAAACCACCGAAACGGAAATATTTGATCGTTAGGCCGCATTGCATCTAAATTGCCTTTGTTTTTGGTGGTTTATCACATTAAGAGGTATATGGCAACGGTTTGTGAACGACTTAACTCCAGGTGACAATTCAAACGGTTCCGAACTTCGTCGGGGACAGAAAGGACACCTTTTCACTCCAGCCCCTTACCACCTGCGCAATTATCCCTAAACATGGAACATTCTCTTTAAAGTCGGTAACGATGCGTGTCAACCAACGACTGCGCGTCCCTTCCCCCGCGCGCCGTATCAGACCCGTCAGGCACCCGACGTTAGGGGGCGGGGGCTTTGACGGAGTCGCAGCCCACTGCTGCGCGTGGAAGTACCGACTCGGTGCCAGCTAAATGAGTCGGTATGGAGATGTCTACTACGCTGTTTCAGGATTGATTGGTAGCGGGGGTGGAGAATCACAAAATCATGACAATTTTTGCAATATGAATCATGTATCTTAGAAATCAAACTTGACAATTGCAAACTTACAGACCCCTTCTCAAATTTGTAATATATTGGTACTATAAAAATATAGAGCGTTGCTGGTGGTCTATCGCTTCGTTATTGAAATCTGTGTCTGTGATAAGTACTTTCGTAGTCGCGATCGTTTAAATCATACGTTTAATCATATTTTTCTAAACATGAAAAGGAGGAAATGTCAAACTCTAAAACGGTAGCTCTATCGCTCTAATTTTTTTGAGAACAGCATCAAGAATAAAAAGAACCCTGTAATCGGAATTTCGTATAAATCCCACTGGGTCGGGTGACATGGAATGGTTGTGTTGGCATGGGAGAATGGCTGTTTTGAAAACGAAGTAGGATAGCCCAATCGAAGACCAGCACAGCAGAACATTGCCCTGCACGTTGGTAGCCTGATTTCTATCTCGGCCCTTACATATCCTCAGACATTCGCGTCAAGCACTCGAATGGAAGCCTATCGCCTTGCCTCGGCTCGAGTACCTGACACTGTCACAAAG